ATTAGTACCATGTGGAAATTTGTTGCTTTAGACTTATCGAGCCGCAGAACTTGCTTTTTTATGCCCTGCAATTCGTTTATAATGGGGAGGAACTTTTAGTTAAAGGATTTCCAATAAAATATTGCGGACGTCAACCAAATATCCTACCTTATAGGCCAGTCAATATAGCAAATTAGGTGGAAAAAATTCAACACAGGATAAAAAATGGAGCATGCTGTTCAGAAAATGTGCTTTCTCTCAATTTGACGGCAAATACTTTAATTAATTAAAAACCACATCGCTACTACTATCACAGACGCACAATTGGACAAATGTTGAATATGAAAGTGGTCATAATTTGTTGAAACTTTGTTTACACAAAGATTACTTCACGGTGAGTTCAAAAATTAAATGGGTTTTCTGTACCGGTTAGCAATTTGGAAAAGCCGCGACTAACCGTTCACTTTCGATTAACTGCTCATAATCGATTAGTCTAAAAATCCAGTAACCGAAATTATTCGAATGTTAAAAGTTTTTCAAAATAAAACTTTTGTTATTAAGCGAAGTCGACTATTTCTATTCGACTAACTGATAGTCGACTAAGCTCTGGAGGTCGGGCCATATTTTCTTTATGATGATTTCAGAAATTAAATCGGGTTTTTTACATGTCACCAATTTCAAAAAATCCGAATATTTAGTACCGGTTATCAGTTTTCGTAATAGGTGCCCGGTACAAAAAAATCGATTTCAATTTTGACATCACCGTGAAGTAAACCTTGTAGGAGTAAAGTTTCAACAAATTGCATTTGTCTATTTCTGCGTCAGGCATAGTATCAGCGATGCGGTAACTAAGGTAACTAACCCATAATGGTCACACGGGGTCCAGTGGACCCCAGCCCAACTTTTCGGATATATATTTTATATAAAAACCATTTAAAATCGATTTAGTGACTTCACCTGTTATTACTATGTAGATTTAATTCGATAATTTCAGGCCGTTTGGAAAACCAGTACTGGTATGTACATTGTGCATCGATTGTGGTAGACATGATTAATTTATTTTAACAAGTAATTTTTAGCAAAAAAAAACCGACTTCAACTCCCATATAAAAAAAAATATATATATATATATATCTCAAGATCCACTGATCGGATCTCAACCAGATTAGTATGGGACCACCTCTGAGTCACTACCTTTCCGATGCAAAATGCACAAAGAATTATCGAAATCGGTTGACGTGGTCCAAAGTTATGCGGTAACATACATTAAAAAAAAAAAAAAAAATATTCCGACGAACTGATAACCTCCTCCTTTTTTGGAAGTCGGTTAAAAAGTATTTATTTTGTATTTGTTTTATTTGTACTTTGATTTACCAGCTTTACGAAATTAGCTAACTTTAATATTCAAGATAAATATATGAACTTTTTTCAAAGTTTTCAAAACGTTATTTACTTTCTTTAAATATACATAGAATTTCAGCAACACAATGGCAAACATTTTTTGGCATATAGCAAAAATTTAAATTTTTTATGAAAAAAGCAATAAACTTGAATTTTGTATACTATAAATCCATTTATCCACGCTGTAGTAGTTCAGATAACAAAGAGAAAGCTTTAAGCTTAAGCTCAGCGTAGGATTCGAGTCGATATATAAAATAGAACGTACGTGGCATATATTTATTGGATAGGGTCCACTAGAGCCCGTGTGATCATTACGCCATTTTTTTTGGAGGTGTAACCATTACGGGTTAATTTAATTCTTTTCTGGAAAATTAAGATATAGGCCATTTTCTTATTTTTATTAAATTAATTTTCTGTACCTTTTTATCCTCAGCGGAATTTTTTACAGGTACACCCAAAAATTTATTTTACCATATTTCCTACTGGGCACTTGTGAGCTTTAGCATAGATATTATACATGGGTAGGCATCTTTATGCAAGTTTAATTAAACCTGAAAAAGTCACACTCGACACAGCTAAGTAAATATATTCCACGGAATAAAGGCCAACAAGTGTACAAACAACGGCTGAGAGTCAATAAAGCTTAATGCATATAAAAGGTGTTCAATGGTTGAATAACAATGAGAAAGCCATGACAGGTAAAAATTTCTGCTTTTTGTCGCTTACGGATGCCAATTTTGGCTATTATGTAACTTACAAATACAATGGTAAAAGAATATATTTCGACAAGGTATGTACAATAGGTAAGCGCTGAAACAAAAGCAAAATATTTGTCGCTTCTGCAGACTGAAAATCCAACAAGAAGATTTTGATTTCTACAATGCACATTAGGTCAAATGATACATTTGGCTGTGCGAAAGTCCAATTTCGTAAAGGCAGTTTTACATTATTTTTTGTTGCCATTCTGTACGGAATACTCCAAAATAACAGAAACTTCATTTAGTTTTTGTAAAATTAAAAACACCGTTATACAGCAATAAACCAAAGTTACACTTTCAAAACATTATTGATACGTTGTTTGCGCAACCGGTTTATTTTGTAAATTTCAAGTGCATTGTTTTTGTAAAGTTCGAATAACTAAAGGAAAATTTTAAATGGGAAACAAAACTATATCTAAGTGAGAACCTATGTCCCAATTTAAAAAAGTGACTTTTTATCATTTGTTTGTTAACTTTCTGCAAACAAAATGGAATCGGAAATGGATAAACTAAGATGTAATGAGTTGAATTTGTTTTACTTAACTTGCCGATTTTAGCCGTTTTCAAGAAAAACTGTTTTTTCTGGGCTATCATGCTATCACAAAAGGCAAGTTGTTTGAAGTTTGGCTGATTGAATGTTCGAAAAAAGAAAAGCCTTTTCGGTTGTCAACCATGTTGAAAAAAAAATTTGGTGCTGCTGATATTTGCGAAAGTTCCATGAAACTCTTAGAAGAAAAAACGCGTATTTTTTGCAATTATTTATCAAATAAATATGAAAATTATGGGAAACAATTTGGAAAGGATGCTAAAATATTTAGAGCTGAAAACATAGCGTTTCTTGCTGATGAGGTTCTTTTCGAAATCAAAAAGCCAACTGTGTGGACCATTAGCCGGATTCTAACTTTCGCTATCGCTAAAGTGCTAAAATACGATAGCTTAACTTTTTCCGTATTTTTAGCTATCTCCAAAAATATCTCCAACATTTTTTGGTGATAAATAATCCATTTTAATGGTGATAAATAGTGAAAATGGAAGTATGTGATAGCAAAAAAAAATAGCAGCCTCAATTTGGATTACATTTCATCTCCTGCAGACTATGTTATAAATACACTAGCACCGATTCGCAAATATCATTGATGAGCAGCCTTCGCAAAAAGGCAAATCCTTGAGAGAATTTACGGACTGAAATTTCGAATTTTTTTTTATCAAAGTGAATAGAGATTTAAACATTCTTTTGACAAATTAGTTTCAAAAACATTCGTATTCTTTTGAGGAAGTTACCATCGATTTTTGGTAAATGTGTCACAAAGCAGCATTTGTATTCTGAATATAAATAATATCGGTGGAGAATTTGGAAATACTGAAACCTCAAGTGAAAATGAAGTGTTTTATGAAGACTAACTACTTTAGGAATCTCTCCTCAAGACATATCTGCGAGACATGTAGTAAATATTTTTCTTTTTTTAATTTAGGAATTTCGATAATGCCATAAATAATCGCTAGAATAAACCATGTCACCATACTTATTTTATTATGTAGCTCATTTTAAAGGGGAGCGAGTTGAGTATGGTAAGAAAATAACTTGTGTCAAAACCAAGCTAATTGGATAATGTTTTTGAGTACTACCTAAACACATATCGTCGTTTAAAGTGCAAAACCGCGTATCAACAAAATGCAAAACCGCATATCAGCATAATGCAAAACCGCGTATGTGAAGTTGTAGAAATTATTTTCTAGAGCGTAAAAACACTCATATTTCAAAATGGTTCTCTTTTTTTATAAAGCAATCGCATTTCTAGCTAGTATATTTCAGGACGAATGGATAAGGATTGAGCCAAGAGCTTGTGTGAGCAAATCCAATTTTTGGCAGCCAGTGTCAGTTACGCGGTTTTGCAGAATGACAATACGCGGTTTTGTACTTTATGCGACGATATACTCATCATTTGAACATACAAAAAAGCAGGAAAGTCTGTATTATGAAAGCCAAGTCTGTTTAACATTTTATTTACTGCCTTTACACTTGTTTCAGCGTTTGCCATCTTTTTACATTAAAATAATGCAGTATTTTAGCTGCTATTAATTTCGCACAGAAAAAGTAATCATTTGACCTAATGTGCAATGGGTAAAAGGTTGCCTCTTAATATCGAGAAATTTCTAGAGGTAGGTTTACAGTGGCTAACTGTATTCTATTGAGCAAAGAGGCACACCTAGGCAAAGAAATTGTGATTTCTTGTGGTAGGCATTCATGACAACCCCATTTGCCTTACTGCCTTGAAGAGGATGAGCGGCGGAACAATCCTTTGCAAGGATATGATATATGGATGGCAGCGACGTGTTCAGAGACGAACAACTGATCTCTTCGACACCCAAAATTCTGCTTCAACTTCAATTTATTCATAAATCAAGTAGATTTAAAACAGATTGACATGAACATGAAAGCAGTGCAATCGGCGCCATGTAGCCTGAATGCAATTCTCTGTACGGTTTGTGTACCTTTCGGTCAGCATTCCAACGAGTTATCTTTAGTCCCGTCTGCTCAATGACAGCAAGTAACTAGATAGATCTTCTGAGATTGAAGGCGTCATGAGTTTTGCCCACCTGCAGTCGTCGTCGATTCCTTACTAATCTTAATCGAGCCAAACCACCTCCGCAATCACCCCCCCTTCTTCTATGGCTTTTTCTTTTCATTGAAATTAGAGCCCGACGAATGTGCCGCTTTTTTGTCAAAATTACATTTAAGAAATACTCAAATAAATAAATCTTGAGACAATGTTTATTATCTAAGTACTTAGCAACTAAAACCGCTCTTTACTTTGTCATTTTTATAACCCCTCAAATTTTGCTGCCCTTTCTCATTCACAGGTACCATCTCGCGCCCTCAACACTATGCAAAAATTGAGCGCACTCGATTTCGATTACAATGAAATTGTACGCATCGAAGATTACAGCTTTTATGGGCTTCGCTTATCGAAACTCAACATGAAAGGTAATCAGCTGCAGTCGATACCCGAGCATGCGTTCGCCGGTCTAGAGGAATCCATACAGGAGATTGATTTATCAGAGAATGCGTTGCGCACATTTCCGCTGCTTGCGTTGCGCAAACTCGACTACTTGCGTACTCTGCGTCTATCAAACAATAAAATCTCTACATTCTATGGGGACATAGCGCTAGTGACGAACAACGCTTCAGCTGCGGCGGCAGTGCTCCGATTACCTTCATTGGTCTTCTTAGACTTGAGCTCGAACCAGTTCACGGAGAGCGTGAACGATTGCTTCGGCGCATTTCCGCAATTGAAGACGCTTTCTTTGTACGCTAATCAAATTGAACTTGTGCAACCGGATGCGTTTAAAAGCTTGAAGGAACTGATGTCGCTCGACATGTCACACAATCGCATCATTGCGTTGGATGCGAAAATTTTCGATAAGAATAAGCGCTTGCAAACAGTGGATCTGAGTCACAATCATGTGCATTCAATAAGTGGCGTGTTCTCAAACTTGCCGCAGCTGCGCGAGGTCTTCCTATCCGAGAATAACATACTCGAGCTGCCGGCGGATGCTTTTACAAACTCATCCAACGTGGATGTAATTTACCTGGAGTCGAATGCCATTGCCCATATTGACCCGAATGTATTTAGCACGCTTGTGAATCTGGACCATCTGTACTTGCGTTCGAATTTCATACCATTAGTGCCTGTAACGCTGTTTAATAAGTGCCACAAACTCACCTCACTTTCGTTGGACAACAACGAAATACAAGATCTTGAAATCGGCATGTTTCGGAAGCTGGAGTTCCTGCGCGAAGTGCGACTACACAACAATCGTATACGACGCATACGTAAAGGAGTTTTCGAGCCACTGCCTGCATTGCAGGAGCTACATGTGCAGAAGAACAACATTGAGGACATCGAGCCGGGCGCCTTCCAGAGCCTCTCCAATTTGCAGCACATCAACTTACAGGATAACCAGCTGACTGTGCTGGAAGATATTTTCCCAAATGAAAAGGCAAACTCCTCCCTGCTGTCCATACAACTGGAGGCAAATTATCTGCACAAGATCCATACGAAGACCTTTCGCAAGCAAGAGCGTATACAAATCATGTGGCTGCGTGACAACCAGCTGACCCGAGTAGACAAATCGATATTTGTGGACCTGCAGCTGCTCGGACGCTTATACCTCAGCAACAACCAGATACGGGACATCGACAAGGATACATTTAGTATGCTGAAGCATTTGAAGTTTCTAGATCTGAGTGGTAATCGGCTGAAGCATGTGCGACGTGAGTACTTTGCGCCATTGGCGAGCTTGGAAGAGCTCAGTCTTTCACAAAACTACATCGAAGCTGTAGAGAGCTATTCCTTTAATAAATTAAAAAACATAAGGGTGCTCGACCTTTCCGACAATCCACTGGTGCAACTAACGAAAGATATTTTTATGGACGAACTGCCTTTGACATATTTGAATCTGCGCAATACCTCGTTGCGTAAAATTGAGCTGCACACATTCAAGTCGCTACAGAATCTAAACGAACTCAACTTTGAAGAGAACCAGCTAAACCCTGCAGACATACAAAAACTGGAAGTGCCCAGTCTGCGCAGCCTCTTCCTCTCGCACAACGACTTCAGTCAGGCCAGGGTTGGCGGCATAATGGCCGATATGTTTGACAAAATGCGCTCGCTACAATTGCTCACAATGGCCAACTGCAGTTTGGAAAGTGTGCCAGATCAAATTTTCTCAAAGAATACAAATCTGGTTAAGCTTGATCTTTGCGACAACAGACTAACGGTTATGAATCGCAGCATCTTCAGTGGCCTCAATGTGTTCAAAGAGTTGCGATTGTGCAACAACCACATCTCCGAATTCCCGCACATTGCGCTTTACAATTTGAGCACGCTGGAGACTTTGGATCTGTCGCGAAATCAGCTTAGCTCCATCGACTTCTACAAATTAAGTGGCACTTTGAACTTGCGGCAACTCAATTTGCATGACAACAAAATCACTTCGTTGAGTGGCTTCAATGCGGTTAACCTCACACAGTTGGACAGCATTGATCTTAGCGGCAATCATTTGCTATCACTGCCCGCGAATTTTCTTCGTCATTCGATTAATTTGCAACGCGTTGATCTCTCGAGCAATCGCTTCTTACAGCTGCCGAGCTCAGCGTTGTCAGACATCTCGATACCACGTCTATCTTGGCTCAATCTTACAGGAAACCCAATAAACAAGATTTACACGGTGAAAGAGGAGCGCTACCCATATCTCAAAGAGCTTTATATCTGCCAAACGAATTTATCCATACTGACCTCGAAAGACTTTGAAGCTTTCCAGGCGTTACAGCATCTACATTTGGTCAATAATCGCATTACGCGCATCTCACCCGGCGCCTTTAAGTCGCTCACAAATCTGCTGACGTTGGACCTCAGCGTGAATGAATTGGAAATGTTGCCAAAAGAACGTCTGCAGGGCTTAAGGCTGCTACGCTTTCTGAATATTTCTCATAATACGCTGAAGGATTTGGAAGAGTTTAGCAGTGATTTAGCGCAGTTGCAGACATTCGATTTGTCCTTCAATCAATTGGATCGTATATCGAAGAAGACTTTCCGGAACTTGCATGGTTTGATGGAACTTTATCTGATGGGTAATCGCATGACTGTTTTGTCGACTGATGCTTTCCGCTTCCTAAGAAAACTGCATGTGCTCGATTTGCGTAAGAACTACTTCGAGCTAGTGCCGATTGAAGCGCTCAAACCACTGGAGACAAACATAAAAACACTAAAGCTGGAAGGTAAGTAACCAGTACAACGTATTTGAGCTAAATTAAGTTTTGATCTTTAAATTACAATTTTTTTATATGAGGGTGGTGATTTCGTAGCCATCCGTTTTTTTTTTACTCATAAACGGAAAGAATGGACACATTTCTTTTAACCTAAAACATTTCGTTCAAATTCGGTTGACTATTACTCTCCAAATAAGACTTACACATTTACGCTATTTCTGGGAATGCCCGCTAAACTGACATGGGGCAGGTTGTGAAGTATAACTACACTAGTAGTTACGGGTACAAGAATTTCCACATTCTCTCTAATGGAGAAGTCCACCTCGATAATGGCCATGCCTGACTTTTTTCGATGTGGGGCCAGGATTTCGTTCTTATTCTTATTTGACACAATCGTTTTATGGAGGCATGTGGAAAAGCTTTATATCAGGCCTGCCTCATAAACAAGCTGGGCGACATAAATAAACCATAGATTCTTCAAAGTACTGTTGAAGGGCCTTCAATCTCGCTTAATCCTCCCGAGAATAATATGCAATAGGAAATCTATAAGTTAAGCTTAAGAGATTATAGGAAACTCTTAAGGAAAGGAAGTAAAAAACAAAATATCCTTATAAAGGAACTTTGAAGTGATTTGGAATCTATATTAGGTTCCGGTAGGTAATCTCCAATTCATCTCGATTCATCCCGGAATGTTTGCTAAAATCCAACGCGAATGAACGAATACTGGTAAAGAATCCCTGAATCATCTTCTAGGCTCTAATTGAAAATGATCAGCCACGTGCAGCTGGTTACCTTACAAAAGAAAAAACTCATTTGGACAATATGGGGTTTTTTAACCCTATAAAACCACGGGTACCGATGCCGTTTCAGCTGCAGCAATCATTGGAGCTAAGCGCTAAAAATTTAATGCCTTTTTAAGGAAGCTCTTGCTCTCAACCACATTCCGGAGATGTTCAAAAGATCAAGGTTTGTCTCTAAACTCAAAATCCTTAATGATAAAGGAGTACACACTGACAGCGTTCTTTTACATCGGGGCTGCTTTTAGCAATAGTAGCTACGGCAATCATGTGGTTATCGGCATCGACTTACAGCGAGTCTCACTCGTTCACTAACAGGTAGGGTTATAGGGAGGGTACCGGCAAGAGCTTTGCTAGACAGAGATGTGAGCAGGGAAACCCCGCAGGGTGTGGTCCTCCCTGTCATGGCCAATACAATATTGGAACTGGCTAAGCTGATCACAAAATATACAAGAGCGTGTTGGAAAAACAACGGTAGCTCTCTGTGGATGTAAGGGCACGAAGCCCTAGCATTTCAAGAGGGGCAAAGAACGACGTTACTCTACATTTGTGGAGATCAACGCATAACTTCTTCGTAAACGCCTCACCATTTTTTCAATAAATATTATTTAAAGCTGGGTGCACCGCTTTGATACTGTGGAGATTACCAGCATGCGGAGTTACTCAAACTGGCGACTACGCAATTTCTGGGGATATTGACCTATTAGCGCGCACTACTATGCACCAAGGGTACATTTTTCAAAAATGTATAGGATTCTATTCAATATTTTGGTCAAGTGAGGCTGCTAGAAAAACAGCATTACTTCACTTCTACACTGATGTAAGAGGTGGAGTCCTCCCAGCACATACCTGTGCAATGCGGCATTTTCCAAGCTTAAGTGGCTGTAATTCATTTGCCTACTGGATACCTCAAAAATCTTAGCCGCCTCTCAAATTTGCAATAAAGAGCCCATCCTCTCCACATTCGAAGTTTTGTAGTGTTTAGGCATGACTCTCGCTACCTCCAAACTCTTTCTAAGATGCTTAGGTGTATCTTTTAAAAGAGCACGTGATAGATCAATAAGTCTTATCACTAGCAGCAAGACAAAACTCATGTGACCAGAATGCAGCGATAAGCGACCGAAGGGTCTCCTCACTAGGCTGGGCAGAAGAGATTTATCTAGAGTAGAGGTTCCCAAACTTTTTTTTCTCGTATACCCCTGTCAAAAATTTACTGGTTTCGGTGGACCCCTGCTGATACATTTCTAAATATTTATTCCCAAAGCTCGTAAAAAATTAAATGTGAAAATTATAAGTTATAAATTATAAGTGTTAATGGAATCATTTTTATTTTTATCGCTCCGAGTTTTAAAGTGAGGCGAAAAATATTTATCACATTTTTAAAACACAAAACTTAAAACATCAAAACGGCTAAACTTTTTACGCCAAACTTTTAATTCAGAAACTGAAAATAGAGAAAAGAATGAGTTAAAAAAAAAAACTACAACAAATAACCAAGCAAGCAAGAAGCATAAAAAGTGTTCCACCGTCTCATCTTCTTCAAGGCAAGATGGGCAAATGGACTTGTCATTTACGCCTATCACAGTCAGGTGTTTGTGCTACGTGAAGTGACCAGTCAGCAGTCCAGCAAGTGGTCTGCAGAGTCGCCTGCTCAATGGGAGCAAAAAATTAGATAGACCTTGTGGGATTGAAGGAAACATGAATTTTGCCCACCTGCATCCCCTCGATGCCTCTCAGTCATTTATCAGCGAAGTATTCACCCAGCTTCTGATGGTGGCTTCAATTGCCGAAAGTGGGAACTCTGGCCAAATGATCAGATGTCTCATAACCAGGTACTCCAGAGTGACCTGGCACCCAGAGTAAAACAACCTCGTTATGTTCACCATCATATTTTAGTCGAGACTTGCACTGCCGAACTAGTTTGGAAGTACTTAAATAGAGGGCTGGTCAATGCCTTAAGTGCAGTTTGGTTGTCACTGCAGTCACGTAAACTCCTTCCCCTCCACACATGTTCCAATAAAGAGGCTATCAAGCAACCATTTTGGTTCTTTACATCGAAACCAGATAAATCTTCGTGAACCCCCATTTACAACTCATGGACCCCCATTTTTTTCACGTCACCGTGGACCCCCGTCGAGTTTTCCGTGGATCCCTGGGGATCCACCTGGAGCACTTTGGAAGTCACTGATCTTGAGAAATGGACCCGCTAATAGGCCAAAATTCCATTGAAAGGCACGCGAAGACGTTGGAACTCATGGGTTCAGAAATCTTCGAGGACTTCACTGAAATAGCTGATATAGGAATGTAACCCAAGCTTATTTGGCACTACAACAGTTTACTGGCTAAGGCGGAGAATAGAAACGGCCTCTATGCTTTACGAACTTCCACTAAACTATTTATCTCGAAATCGCCATAGCCTTCTCATCTTTGTTAAAATCCTGGAAAAGATCTAGATGAGCCTTTTTCAGTGGGCAGGTGAGGAGGTGCTAAAGTATCGTGCTGGGCATTTTTTCATATTGAACACATTTTTGTAGTGGATATTATCGGGGTTGATTCCGGATAGTTGGAAATTTAGCCAGAATGGATTTGTGTCAAAGCAATGCAGAACTCACGAGCCCATTTGAGTTCTATTTCTGAGACGGATGGTTCTTGGCCTTTCATGAACCTCATTAAGAGTAGTACTTTTATGAATATCGTTTAATACGTGTCTATAGTTCATCTGGTTTAGCGGATTTTTTACGCTTTTTTAAATCAAGTCCTTAAGACTAAAAGAAACCAGATCGATTAAGTTTCTAGGGCTGCAGAAAAATCAGTCAAAAAAATACAAATTTGTTCGCAATACATACTCGAATATGTAAAAAGAACAGAATACAACTGGGCTAAACTAAATACATTAAATATAACCTTTTATTCATTATTTTTTATTAAGTACTTTTTACTATATATGTATATTTGAGCAGTAAAAATCATTTTTTATGTACATTTCTCTTTTTCACTGTATCTCTGCAACCTCACAATTGGCTCAACGATGTGATATAAAAAACATATAACCACGACCATCAACTATTTGCAACTTTACTATATAAAAAAATAAAATAAAATAAACATCAACCACTAAATGTATACCGCCACTTACTTACTGCTCGGCATCAAATGTCAACTGAAACAAATGATGCCACCTCAACTACAACTACAACTCCAACGACCATCATCGCACTTGTTTCAACTCATCAACGTCAACGTCAATACCAAAATGTCACGAATGCACTTGCCACTCGCCGGTAAATTGATGTTTTTGTATTGGCTTACTATGTAGAAAATCCACTGCATTGCAGCTGTGATGCGCAAAAACTTTGGGAATGGTTGCGTGATCATCGAAAATGGTCACAGCAAGCTGGCGGTGATAATATTAATTACTTGAGGTGCGAACATCCAGCTGAATTGCGTGGCAAAGTATTTGCCAAAATGGAACCACAACAATTCTGTGATGCACCTTTGATACCGAAAATCGCCATACAGGACATTCAACCGTATTCGGTGGTGGTTTCGTGGTTAAGTCGTGAACATTTGGGTTTAACTGGTTATGAAATTGTCTATTATGCGACCACAGATGGCATTGATTATGATGAGGTGAGTGGATAGCAATAATTAAGTTTGAAAATTAATCTCTGGTTGAATAATTAAAGTCAGCTATGTGTCTGTGTATTTGTGCGCAATAAGAAGAAATTAGATCTGGCCATTTGAATATTTTTTTTTCAACATATGTATAAATACGTACGGTTTTCTTCTTGCATAGACTGAAATAAATTCTGTAAAGTATAATAAGCTGTAAACTTGCATCGGTATGATGTATCAATAACGATATGAATATACTTGCATACAGTGGCAGGCAAACAAATAGGGACGTGGCATTTTAACAAGTTTTGACTTTGCTTATTTTTTATTTAAGTTAATCTTTTTTTATGAGAGTATAGCTAACTATCTAACAAAAACCATGTAAGTCCGAATTTTTAACTTTGTACAAAAATTAGCAAAATTCAACACAGTTTCATCAAAACTTCAAACTTTTTAACAAGAAATTTTTTTTAGGCAGTTTTGTAGCCCATTACATTTCAGTACAATAAAGTGTAAGTTTTGAGTAACCAGAATATTGGGCACGTTCTTTTTTTTTGGTGATGGTGCCATACATTTTCTTCCATACAAAGTACACATCGACGGCTGAGTGGAAGATCGACCTATCTCAGCAGCGGGTTCGATAACGCCCACTCTCAAATAATGTTTCAAGCACACCCTACTTCATAATTTGGTTGAAGAACGCCCTATTTCAGAACTCGGTTCAAAAATTCCATATCTCAACAGAAAGTATGTTGAGAAAGGACGTTTTTGAATCGGCAGCTGAGATAAGGCGTTTTTGAATTGAATTCTGAAATAGGGCGTTCTTGAAAAGTTTTCGGAGATAGGGGGTTTTCGAACTGGCTGTCGAGATATGTCGATCTTCCTCTCAGTCGTCGATATGTTCGACAATTTTCTTATATGGAAAAAAATGCACAACACCGGCAGCAAAAATTTGAACAAAACGTCTGAAATTTGTATAACAGTTTGAAATTTGGATACAGTAATGCATGTAAAAGCTTTGGAAACATTTATGCATCAAAAAGGAAATTTTTAAAAGATGTAGCTTACGGTTTCTTCGTAGGCCTCGATTGAAAAACCAAAGTCTTTAAATCCTATCACACACATCTTTCTCATACTCCTTATAAACCAGTCCACGATGTAACACACAAATTTTGACTTTTACCGCACTTTTAAGCGGTAGCTTTAGCAGGAGAGCAAAGTTGGGTTTTCTATCGTGCGTCCAATTAAATAATTTTTTGTTTGAAGCGACGATAAAATAATTTCGCTTGTCATTTTATTCTTATTAACATCTAACAGTTTTGTCAACACGGACAGTGAGGCATGTGGTATGTACTTTAGTTTGCGATATTTGTTAATAGTTGTTTGTAAAATGGTTATAATACCTATTTTAAAAATTGCCTTTTTCTTATTGAAAATAATTCGAAATTTTTATATCAGTTAGAGTTATAAAAAAGTTCCAACGAGTACAGCAATTTTTCTTCAACAGTTCGAAAATCCAACAAATTTCCAATGTAAAAATATCACGAACTCGTCCCCCATTTTTCCCCTTCATTAAATAGAGCATATTTTTCTTAAGTCGTTTATTGGACGAATCGAGAGTATAGGACGACAACAATGTTTACTCCATATGTATTTGACAGATTTCCATGAAATTTTATATCCAGAGGTTTTCGTCGTCACTGATTTCAAAATTGATATTCAATTTTCTAATTTCAAAATGGTGGATCCAATATGGTGGACGATTTCTTTAAAAATGTATAGATTGCTGTTATATTTTTGCTTCCCTAATGTATAACTAAATATGTAATAGTTAACTAATTTCCTAATGTGAATTATTTTTATAATTATATGAATTTGGAAATCTAATATTTAATTCGTAATCAGTTCCCAGCTATCAAGTTTCATTACAAACCATATTTGTTTTTTGTTATTTTTTGGCCTTATAACAATTATATTCAACAGTTTTTATTGAGCTCGAGGCCGTTTTTTTAATGAAAATTTATTGTGGAAAAGCAACAATAATTTGAAAAAATGGTAGAAGTGATAGCTATTTCGGAAATCACCACATTTCCTCATCAGACTTAGTATGGAACCACCTCTGAGACACTACCTTTTCGTTGCAAAAAGAATTATTGAAATCGGTTGACGTGGTGCAAAGTTATGCGGTAACATACATAAAAAAAAAAAATAAAAATAAATATTCCGACGAACTGATAACCTCCTCCTTTTTTGGAAGTCGGTTAAAAATGAAAATAGTGGAAAAAAGCAAACGATAATTTACAAGGCGTACTTAGCACGGTGCATAGGCAACTGGCTGAGTCAGTGGGATCGTCGGTTCGAAGCCTACTGAAAGAAGTCTGATGAGGAAATGTGGTGATTTCCGAAATAGGTATCACTTCTACCATTTTTTCAAATTATTGTTGCTTTTCCACAATAAATTTTCATTAAAAAACGGCCTCGAGCTCAATAAAAATTGTTGAATATAATTACAAACCATAGTTAAAAGGAAAAACTCATCCGCCATATTGCATTTGCCATTTTGAATTTTGAAAGTTTAGTTTCAATTTCGTAATCAAAGATAACGAAAATCTTTGAATACCAAGTTTCATAACAAACTATATTTAAAAACAAAAGTCCGCCATATTGGATCCGTCATTTTGATTTTTGAAAATTAAATATCAATTTCAAAATCAGTGACGACGAAAATCTCTGGATACCAAGCTTCATAACAATATAGTCATTTTTTTTTTTAAATCGTCCGCCATATTGGATCCGCCGTTTTGAATTTTGGAAATTTGATTTAATATTCGAAATCAGTGACCACGAAAATCTTTTAACAGCAAATATTATTGAAATCTGTCAAATACATATGGAGTAAACAATTTTTTCGTCCTAAATCGTCGATTCGTCCCTATGTGCGCCGTTCGGAGTCGGCGTAAAACTGTATGTCCCTCCTCTTTGTGTCCGCACCATAGTTTGGAGGAGAAACTCGACCAAACACTAACACATGTGTAAGCGGCAATCTATTATTATTATTAACTAAAAGCTTCTCTCAGTGCACAGCATTTTGGGCGTAGAATTCACAAATTTATCGGCATAATATGCATATTATGTTTGCAGCGTTTTCACCTTTTTTATAGTGGAAAATGTACCTCATAGCGAATGTTCTCAGACATTTCACTCATTTTCAAATTAATATAAATTTTTGTACAGAAATGTCTTAACAAAAAATGTAGCCTGATATGTCAACTTTCAAACGCACGTCAGTTTGACGCAATTGGATTAGTGTTTCCGCATCAACAACATATAGTGACAAAAGTCCGCAGAAACTTTACATGTGACCCAATATATAACGAAAATGACTATTATAGATACTTCATTTGATAACTGTTAACGCTTTATTCATCTATTGATTCGAAATAATCCTCCAGAATCGCACATATCGCTTAATTGTGCTTTTGTTTTACTCATGCGCTTACAGTACAAATATACAGACGAATATTTATGCGCAAATTACGTGGTCTTGATTACCAATTTAAATATGCTCAGTGCTCCCACATATGTACATACATGTAAACATTAGGGTATATCACTCTCAAAAAAAATATCGGTACGATTTTTCCATCAGAAATAAAAAATTTATTATATTTTAAGACTTCCGCCAAAATATCACGGAAAAATATTAAGGTTAACGTGAGCTGAGGCTATTTGAAACTACCTTAAAAAGCGTTTTTTTTATTAAGAAAATTTGTTTTTAAACTATTTTTCTAAAAAATCTCCTCATATGATAGACAGATTTAAGCTTAAAAGGTTTGCTTACAGATGTTTAAAAATTTTATCAACAGAAAAAAATGAGATTTTTGGAGATACTTTCGAATGGGTGCAGCTCACGTAAATCTTAATATTTTTCCAAAATATTTTGACGAAAGTCTTTAAATATAATAAGATTAATGTTTTCGATGTAAAAAACCGCAACTCTTTTGGTGATGCACCCTAATGTACATACATGCATCCCCTTTTACACTAAAAAAACAATATTTTCCAATCAACCTCTTTGTGTTCATTCTCCACAGATGCGTGGTAAACGCCTGAATGGCTCCGCCAACTCGGCCAAATTAACAAAGCTGAATGCCAACACACGCTACCACATCTGCGTTATTGGCACCGGTAATTGGTTGTCCGAGCCTGTGGCGAATGCCTTGCAAAGGATACACTTTAACGACTCATTTCTAATGTTACGCGATGAGGCAGCTTCGAGTGGCGGTAGCGTTGGCAGCGCTTTTATTGCAAGTAATCAGCAGCAACACTACTACCACGATCAACAGCAACAGCAGCAGCAACAACAACAACAACAACAGCAGCAGCAACAGCCAGCCGAATATTATGAGCAATATTTTCAAACGTATCAACAACAACACCACGACCACCAACAATTATTCACGCAAGCTGAACCGCAACAACAACAGGCATTAATCGAAAACACCATCGTCACGGACAATGCACTGCGGGATGTGTTGAAAAATTCCCACATCACCACTTGTACGGACGTACAAACACTCGATTCGACACCAAGCCTGGTCACCGACGAGAATGGCCTCTCGAGCAACGGCTTCATCCATTCGATACTGACACGACGCCTGGGCCTGATTGTTGGCTGCTGCCTGGGTATCATTGTGTTTATCGTCATGATTTCGGTATTGAGTTATGTGAAACTGAAGAAGCAGCGCATCGAAAACGCCAAGAGACAGGCCGCCATGCCACCCGAATACATTTCATATCGACACTTTTCCATACCAAATGAGGAACTGGTGCGCGCATCCGTGGCCGGCGGCATTACCACAACGATTTCGAGCGTCCCAAGCGGCATTAGTGCGCACATCAGTGGCACTAGCCTCAGCACTAGCGCGACTGCCACAACAGCAACTACGCCACTCGGTGGCAATGGCAGCGATAGTAAGGGTAGCGGTGGCACAACAGCTACAGTAACATCCGCCACCAATACGCTGAAGAAGAAAAGTGAGATGAACGTAAGTACGCCTGTTGGTGTGGGGATGATCGTTGCCGAAGGCAATGGCTTGGTGAATTCGACCTCAGCCACCACAAAAGCAGCGGGCAATGATGTCGTCAGCGTAGCGGCAACGTTGACTCAAACAGCGACAACCGTAGAAGCAACATCGACAGCGAACAACCACAATCACCATGCGCATCATCAACATCAGCAATTGCGGCTTCTGCAACAGCGGCAGCAGCAGCAGCAGCAGCATCATGGCAATCACAATCAACATGTTGGTGGCAATGGCGGCGTAGGCTATATGTCGTCTGGTGTTGTTTTGGGCGCCAATCACTTGAACGCTTGTTAGTTGCTGCGGCATCGTGACTCACTCTAATCGATGATTTTGCGAAACTTTCTTTAGGCGATCAATTTATTTTTAAGGTCTACTTAAAGCGTACATAATCGCAACTACATACATACTATGTAGTTGTACGAGCAGAAACCTTAGGCTAAGTAAGTAAGTTTAACTGTAAACTGTAAATAAGTATAAGTAATGTAGAGGGAAATGTTGTTAATGAAAATGGCGCACCAACGGCGATATACATACGCGTGGTTGTTGAGAGGATTTGGATAGTTGGTAAATGGTATGCGCAGTGTGGTGCGGTGTACATATAAATTTGTTTAAATTGACTTTGTCTGTTGTATTTAGCTTAGTTAAAAATCTGTTAGGCAACTCGATCTAAGTTTAGATTTATGTAAAATAGATAGGCTGAGATTGAAACCCTTATCTTTTGGCTATAGTACATTCAAGAGATTTACCTTACACTCACACGAACGCACATCTACATAAATGTTGCTTAAATATTTATACAGAATAAAATAATTCTCTAAGTAAATTTTATTAGCACGTAGTACGTAATATAGGGTGATCCATTTACATTTTTATTTTAATTTTACACAAAACACTTAAAACATAAATGTATGCCGGAATCTGTATTATTACCCAAAAGAATATTCTCTGAAATTTACCCTTTTTAAATAATTTCATTCAAATTTTGGCCGCGTCTATGCTGTAGCATTACGTGAATTACCACACGATAACTTGCTGAAACCAAATGTTGCCGACGTCACGGGCTTCAATTTCAGTTAATAAAAAGTTTATTATCATGCACTGTGGGTAATTTTTCCCATTTTCGTTGCCAAAATTAAACACAACAAACAAGTAGCTAATCTAACACATAATTTTTTTTTATTAATTGGAATTCGATTTCCCACATTTTTGCAAAAAAAAACGAAACCTTAACCCTTGACTACCGATCAGTCATAAGGGGTCACCTTTTAATTTGTGGTTTTATAGAAACATTTTGAATGCAGTTTTTTTTTTTTATATTTAAAATATTTCATAATTAGTCAGAGCCAGTTTAAAGGTGTGGGATGACACCAGGCGATGACCCGTTAGGACACCCACCAGTAGCCTAGCATCCTTCCTCTTAAGGGATAGAAGAAACTTCGTGAGATTTTTTTCATAAGCTTCGCACATCATCCTTGGTCGTGCTACATTTAATCGCTTGCAGGGAAACCGCATAGTACTCGAGAGGGCGCCTTCTTTGCCAAGCCTGTCGACCTCCTCCTGGATGTTGCACATCCAGAGCTGTCTTGCCTGCACCACACTTCTGGAGGAAGTTCTGTGTGATAGGAGCGCCTTTATCGCAGCCTGACTGCCGATATAGAGATTCACGTGTTTGTTTACTAGGTTGCTGCTGTTCTCCTTATAGCCAGTGCTTCCGCCGGGAAAATTGTGTAGTAGTTCAGCAGCTTATAGGATTTGTTGAAACCGAACTCCCCGCAGACGACTGCCACCCCAACGCCTTTCTCCATCTTCGACCCGTCTGTGCAGACATATGCCGAGCCAGCACTTCTCATGCTCTCACGCCAGACCCTCTTGCTATCGGCCAGCATATCGAGCTCTTCGCCACGCTTGTATTTCGAACACATTAATTTTATTGCATAAAATATGAACGTCTCGTTCGATCTTCAGCTCCCTTTATCGATCACGAACGGCTCGCATTGCTCCCGAACGCGACGTGGCCCTAAAATCGGCATCTTTTTTCTCCAGTTGTTTTTTAGGGCTTGCTGGAATCTGGCTACTTCTTCGTTGTGATATCAGTTATTTGACGTTGAACTTTTCTTATATTGCTGGGCGCTCGTTTTTTTATGCAAAGTGTCCGATCTGTACCTTGACTGTAATGTGCCACTCGACACTCAAGCGCGCCTTCCGCCTATCACAACTTTATAGATTTAGTTTCTCGTTTTTTTTTTTCACAGACAGCCACACAGATTTGTGGATATTTTATGCTAAAGCCTCGCTGTACGTCCTATCTGGTTTCGAGTCCCGGCAACGCCAATCAGCCTCCGTCCGTTAGCGAACATATGTATGGTCGTGAAAACTGAATTTTCCGACTGCTTGACCGTCAATCGCATCTCTACTAAGGGTGTGAATATTCCAGGTGCATGAATTTAAATCGCAGTTCTCCAAAATTTTTGCAGTGATTGTCATGAAATGTAGAAGGTCTCGTCCGAAGCAGTGATTGTCATGAAATGTAGAAGGTCTCGTCCGAAGCAATTGTTGAATATACATTTATATCCGCTTACTCCAGGACAGACAGGTGCTCGCTTGCAGCCGCGCCTCATGGTGAACAGACGCTGCAGACTTCTGTGGGCTCCCTCTCTCACTGCCGTGGTCCAATACTCCACATGGGTTGGTTACCACACATCGCACATGGATTTGGCAGCGTAGGGTTTGAGTACAGTAAAATGTATAATAGTATGCACCTATTGTGAATTTCTAAATCAAGTTGAAAAAATATAGTTTAATTTTGAAAGTACGTTGTGAATTTTGTAATAAGTTGCTACAGATTCATTAAGTAATTACTTTATTCTTGATTCCAAGTAAGTTACTGCCAGCAGGATGATATCTTTCAAAAATACCCGATAAATATTTTGTTGCTAAAATTCTACGGAATAGTCTATTTGATAGCCCCCCACATCAAAAATAGGGATGCAAATTTTGGGGAGTAACATCGATACATCGATGTTTCGATGCATCGGAAAAATGAACATCGATTTTAAAATACATCGCCAGAAAAACATCGATATATCGATGGTTTCCGATGTTTCGAGATTTGTTAGGAAAATTTAATACTTTTCAATTCCAAATCTCCGTAATTCAATTATTGCCTTATTTATTTACCATTCCCTCCCTATAAATAGAATAGAAATGCATGCCGTCATAAGTTCGCTAAGCCTAAAGTTCCAAGGCCCAATTTCATTGAAATTTCAACGGGATCCCGGTCCTTTTTTAATGACTAAGTATGCATTTTTAATATCGAAAGATAAGAGTAAACTCAGAATTTCTGAATGTTACTTTTAAAAGAAAAATATATAAAAATTCATGGCCAGTCAAAAAATTTTAGGAGCATAATTCGATGTTAAAACATCGCTGAAACTGGCATCGATGTATCGTCAATTTAGCGATTTTAGGAAATTGTAAACATCGATGGCAAACATCGAATTTTGAACCGATATTATCGATGTTTCAAAAATATCGATGCATCGTTTGCATCCCTAATCAAAAACCAATACATACTACATTCTAAAAATAAAATTGAATTATTTAAACTAAACATACAGTATTGGGCAATACAATAGCACCCCCATTTCAAATTAATATTATTTTCCAGTCATGTTTATTTATTTTTAGGAATTTTCAATTAAAACACAGTTAATTCTCTAATGAAACTCATATAAACCCAGGTATAAAAGTTTTTAAAATACTACAAAAAAAACGCGACAAATTTTCACCCAAATTTCAAACTTTTTTCTCAGAAGTGTAAGAATTTTTTCGAGTACGCACTTTTATAGCCATTCATGTATGTATGCTTTTATATATTAATAAAAATATACCCAAGGCAAATAAGAGATAGGTTAGTGATTTTTTTTTTATGGAACACAATAAGGATTTATTATTAGTAAAATAAAAAAACGAATTGTAAATAGCAACCTAAGCAACTCCTTTCTACCTAATACATACACCATTAAACAAAAAACGTAATTACTGTTAAATAAAAATAAAAATTTATATTAAGTTTTTTATAGTGCCAAAAGGGATTATTGCGTTTTATTTCTTTTAAACCGAATTACTAGATATATGAAAAATAAGACAAAACCATAACAAGGATGCCGAGAGAAAAAGGTGCGATAAAAAAGTTAATTGTAAGCAAATTACGAAAAAACCTTCAAAAACAAAAACTGACTAACGGGTCAATAAATAGTAAGTGCATAAGAATTTACGTAGTATGCGCACGAAAAAAACATTTATGCAATTATAATTTCTATGCAGGCCTAAATATACATACATACATATATACAATTCATACGCATATAGTGTATACACATCAGGTGGCCCTTAAAAATATCAACATCTACATTTTACATGGGAAGCCAATTTATTTTGTTCTACTACGTGCAAAATAGAGACATCCGCGAAAATTTCAAATTCAAAAAAAATAATTAGGGGTTTGAAAAATTTAATTGTTTTTTAAAAAGGTAGTATGAAATTTTCATGGATTATTGAACTATTATGTAGCGATGGTTAATCAACTTGAAAGCCAAATATTTCAAGAAATGTCGATGTTAGCGATTTGGAAATTGAATTTCCTACAAGTTTGCCATTTACCCTATTTCTGTAGCTTTTGCTATTTAAGAGGTAGGGGCAAAAAAAAACGAGAATTTCATGAAAAATTGGGCTTAGTACTACTTTGAATTGAAAAAAAAATAGTCGCGCAAAAGCACCTCGCTGAGTTGTAGCTGGTCAAAATTAAAATATTTCGAAGTTTTGGGATTTAAAAAGGGAAATTTTTCAAACCCTGGTAGCAACCCAATTTTAATTAATACATTTTTTTTTTTACTTTCGTGGATGTCTGTATTTTGTACCTAGAGCAAAATAAAGGGGTACGCCATTATGTTGGTATTTTTTATGGGCCCCCCTATCACACCTACACATACTGATACGCATACATACATACATTCATGTAAGTAAACAAAATGAAGGGCGACAAGCAGGCTAAAAAGGCCTCAAAAGTATTAAATAATGATTGCAATTAGAATAGAAAAAAGCTAAGCAAATATTTAAGTAGACGAAAAAAGCTAAACTAAAAAAAAAACAAACTAAAAAAATATTAATTAAATAAAGCAAATAAAAAAATGCGAAAGTAAACACTCAATGAGTTTCATTTGATAAACGAAATTTTTAATTGAAACAACCACATAAAACTAATTTACAAATATTTATAATTTGCTTAGAAATTAAGCTTTAGTGAATTAGCAAAACAACCCGTAGATAAATCATGAAACAAGAAAGCAAATAAATGGTGATGCGAGCATTTAGTACTCGTGTGCAGTAAATCAAAATCCCAAAGAAAATACATAAAAATAAAAAAGCCAAAAATAACTGTCAAAAAACCAACATACATACGTACACACATAATAAGAAAACACAAATACATAGAAACATACATACATGCATACAAACATACATAAATTAAGGCGATGAATGCGCTTATTTGCCCGAAAAAGTGAAAAACTAAAGAATTAAATAAGTGAAAGAAAACATTTAAATATGCAGTGAATTGCAAAAAAATAACAAAGCAAAGCAAAATCTATACTAGATAATAAATCAAAGAAATCTCCACAGCAAAAATTAAAATATGAAATACAAAAATCGAATGAATTTAAAATTTGGTATCATCCGTTGGTTTTATTTTACAAATTTTAACACCATAACAAAAGCGTTTTGTTTTTTACCAACAAAACTAACGCATACACAGAATGTAATTATTAAAACCGCAAACTGAATTTATAGAGACAAACGTATGTACTACGTACAAGTACAATGTACATTGGAAAATGTTTGCCTGCATACAAATAACCAACTGAATAATGTA